AGTTGTCTACTTTTCATGCGACATATGTTATCCGTAATATTTTTGCCTCCTGATCACGAATCCGGTGTCAGAATTGAGCTATCACATCACAGGAATTTCCTAACCTCAAAAAACAGGTCCAAAATAGCAAAAATTCAGGAAAAAGTGCTGGGAAAAATACAAAAAATTTTTTTTTCTATATTCAAATGTTCATTTGTATGGTTAAGGCCCCACCGGGCCAATTAGGGTCAGATATCACGAATTGAATTTTCAAAAAATAACAGATTCGCGCCAAATTTGGTATACGGGGTTTTCGGGGTCTCTGATTACGAATACGAAAATCATTTTGTAATATTTTTGTTTATTCTATAACCTGAGTGTCCAATCATGTTTTATCCTTTTTTTCCGCTGTCTTGCTCTTTTTTTCTGTAAAAGATCTATCCACGAGTTTTCTGCCTAATCTCAGGTAATAAAGTACATAGATAATTGATTACATTTTTGAAAACGTATTTTGTAGGTAAATCTGATATCGGATTCGTGATCAGTGACCCCGAAAACCCCCGAATACCAAAGGGGCGAATGTGTTATTTTTTGAAAATTTGGTCGGCCATCTTGCATCCGCCATCTTGAATTTTGTAAAATTGACCTCAGATCCATGATCAGTGACCCCGAAAACCCCCGTATACCAAATTTGGCACGAATCTGTTATTTTTTGAAAATTCAATGCGTGATATCTGACCTTAATTGACCCGTTTTTTGAGGTTAGAAAAAGAACCATCAATTCACGTTCGGCGGGGTCTTAACCATACAAATAAACATCTGAATATAGAAAAAACAATTTTTCTAGTTTTATTAGCACTTTTTCGTGAATTTTTGCTATTTTTGACCTGTTTTTTGAGGTTAGGAAATTCCTGCCCAATTCTGACACCGGATTCATGATCAGGAGGCAAAAATACTACGGGTAACATAAGTCGCTTGAAAAGTATAGACAACTTTTTTTTTGTGTGGATGAGTTATCACGACGTTCAAATATTGCATACATAAACGCACAACATTCTCAGGTTTTAGTAATTTAACCATTAAATCTTATTTCTAATCACAAAATTAAAACGGTCTGAACTACTTTTCAGTAGTAGTCTCATTCAGGTTTTACGTCGTTCGTATTAGCGAGGTAGTTTGAATTACCAATATTCGGATTATCGAGGTCCTGCTGTGTTTTTTCTCTTGAACTTTTACTTTATTCTGAAGGTATGGATTAAAAAAAAATTAAGTACAAGAATAAAAAGATTACATTATTTAAGGATTTGATGGGACCTTTGGTAAAAAATTTAAATTGATTTGAATTAGCTTAAAATAGAGCAAAAATATATTTACTTCTGTTTTGTATATATCGGGAAGTTCGGAAGCGAAATATTGGGCGAAATGAGATAAATAAGTAATTGTTGCTCTGCGAGCGGAAAAATAAAGCAGTGGAAATAGAATTCCCGTAATTTGAAAACCGAACAGAGAAAATCATCATCGCTTGCAACGAACCGTTTTATCTTTGTCAGTACGTTATTTACAGATAGATTTTTAAATGCCAATCAATCGTACCATGACTCTAGAAAGTCCACGCAAATCAGTGTAGATTAATTTAGTTATAATTAAAAACAGTAATAAATATTGGATTTTATATTTCGCAATATCGGACTATAAGACGTTATTATTGGATTCACAACAACTTTATCTTTAATTGGCATTCCGGGGAAGTTTTTATTTTTAATATCTCCCATAATTAAGTTGCTTATAGAATTAATTTACATTTTACAATCCTTTGACGTTTTAACGAAAAAATCCGTTGTTTCCAAATTTTACCGGGAAACACTAGAAACAAGTTACGAGAATCATTAATTTAATTGTACAGCTTTATTAAGCCGTAGCTAAAGACTTCATTAGGTTTAAAGCAATTTTCTAGCAAATATAGACTTGGTTTACAGAAGCCAAGCATTCAATCTTTCTCGGAATATAGTAATGATTAAATGATTTGCTGGGTAAGTGTTCAATTTACATAGCAAAGAAGGATTACTCTCATATAGGGAGCATAATAAAATGTAATAAGCATTTTTACACATGCTCGGTTATTTAAACACTAATACTGACCCTTGTTTGTTTATTACCTTGAATATTATGTACTGTGGCCTCTACATAAATAAATTGGTCGCTCCAGACAGGCAAAAAATCTGTTCAATACCCCTAATCAAACTCTTATATTAATTTGTTTTGTACGTAAAGCACCCGTTATTATTGAACCCGGGATTATGAATAATGATAATCTAGAAAAAAGCGGGGGATTTCGTTGGCCAATTATTTTTTTATAACGACGTTGATTCAAATAAACAAACGGGATAATGACAAAATAAAATTTCATTTGACAAATGCCAGTAATTAAGGTTTTTATGTAACTTATACGCTCGCCCAGATAAAATTAATTTCACGTGTTATGATTTAAAAAGTAATCCTTAATGCGGTTTTAAATACATTAAAGCGAAAATTAAATTCATGTCGTTAAGGGCAATTTTCCGTTAAAATATAAATTTCGCTTCAACGTGTTTATCTGCTCATCAACATAACTCGCAGAAACGTTGCTTTCTTTACAGAAAATAAATTCGTAATTAGGTACGTCACAAATATGATAACTTGGTTATATTCCATTAAATTATGAGGTTGTTAAGGTACGATGAGTTGTTCCGAAGTTCCAGACGTCTTTGACTCTCATAAGAAGTTCTCTTAAGCGTCTTAAGTGAATGTTATGACAATAATTACAAGAGTTTTATCAAAGAAAAGCTATGAAAAACTTTCACTTACGAACTTGAACGGATTTTTTTTATTCGAGGGGATAAAAACGCGAAAGAAAATAAATCGGCTTTGATATAGCGTGACGGTCGTGATTACGCATAAAAAAAAATATTAATTTAAAACAACTTTAATTAAACTGTTTAATTGATTTTTCGATCAAGGTAAAATCGAATTGAATTGGGGGTATGCCTAATGTTCCTTGACAAAGTCTTAAATATACCGGTGACAAATAATCTGAATGGAGCAATCAAAATCAGTAAATCATAATAAAACGCCTGTAAAACTGTTTGCTACGGCCGTAACTTCAAGGGGATTTCATAGACGTAGTCGTGGAGGTGCCAATAGCACTAAAATTTCCCTATAACATTTTTATGCTTCGAAATTTTTACGATTCCGGTCTTATAAAGACAGCTAAATTTTATCGCCGGGTTAAAGTCTGATTAGTTGGGACGTATAATGCAAAATGTGTTTGAGTAATGAATGTTTTATTGGAGATAAAAACATCATAAAATCGTCAATTAACATTATCGACGCTCTCCCAGTGTCCCACGAGAAATTAGGACACGCCGATTCGTAAGTCACACGAAAATGTTCGGAAAATTAAAAATGTCGTCTTTGTTGGCAAATCTTCGATATACAGGGTGTTGATTAAGCACGGCGACAGATTTTTTGAGAAATTTTTTTGGATATAAATATTTCTCAGTAATAAAAAAATATTTTGTTTCAAACTCGCAACACCTAGTACAACGGCTAAGGATCGTTCGAAAGTTTAACCAACCAGACATAGGTCGGTTTGGAACTTATTGATGGTCCTCACCATTATGTCGTTAGAACGATCTAGCTGCTTTAGTGTCGTTACTCATAAGAAGATGTGTATACACAGAGCGTAAGTGGCTCCATCTATCGTGCTACTTCCCACCTACGCCATTCTGTGACCTACAATTTTCTTTCAAGAAAACATAAGTTTGATTATAATATGCTACATTTGTCATGAATAATTCCTACATTAATACTCCATTTTAAAGATACAGGGCGGCCAAATGAAAACGAAACAGCCATTTTCAGGAACTGCGTCAAGATTCTAGAAAAACGCTCAGACCCATCGATTTTAGATTAAAGAAGGACATTCTTTGCTGGTATTTTTGACTGATAGATTACAGCAAATATTTCACATAGTTTGACGAAAGTATATACATTTGAGTAGAATCAAATAACATTTACGGCAAATAATTCCATTTAAAACTAAGCATCTGTTCATTTGATCCAAATACTTTTTTTTTCAGTGTGGCTGCTATATATTTATCTACAAATTTAGCCAGTTTTTACCTTTTATTAGTTAATTCTTAGCCCAAGTTCCGCCACTTTATGGCGTACGTCCTCAGTAGCTATTTTAGAAAATGTTAATAAATCTTCTGCTCATTTGCAGTAAGGCCGAGTTCTTGTGCATCAATATAACTAAAAGCAGCAAGTAACTCGATTATTCATGTTGTACATCGGAGGTAGACATTAATAGCGAGTACAATGTAACCCCTAGTTAATAAACCGAACATTGAAAACGACGACGGTATTGTTGCCGGCTGAAATTCTCAATATCAAATGGGTTTTTTTTTTTTCATCTTCGGACAAAAGATGTGTTGATATTAAAAACCACAATACCCGGCCCATCTTTTTATGGATGTATAGCGAGGAGTCTGGGGTAAATCCATTACAGCGTTTTTTCATTTATTTCGGCTTCAGATGCAAATAAAGAAGACGCATTAAAAGGTTTCTTTTAAAGTTGGTGAATAAAATGAATGTCGATATGATGGAGTGTTCTCGTTGTTTTCTCCGGTATAATGGACCGGCTCGTCAATGAAAAATACATTCCGAATTAACAATATTAAAAGTTTGATGCAGCGCATCTCGCCTCGACGAAGCCAACCAAATTAATTTTCCCTCCCTCCCACAGCTCATGAAATAAAAAAAAAACGACAAATTAGGCTTTCTAAAAACTCATTTACTCAACAAATTCGAGGCTCTCCGTAAAATATGCAAGATATTAAAAATAAATTACGTATTAATGAATGGCTCTCCCTAAAAATAACCTAATTATAATTATCGCTAATTACATCTTTAATTATCTTAATAACAGCTTTATTTTTTTTGACCCGGAGGGGTAATACACATTTTTTTTTTTCTTGTCGCAGAGTACCGTTACGAGACGGCTTATGCTTGCGAGGGGAAAATCTTGAAAATTGAATGTAAGGATGGCGAGTTAATAAAGTTAATCCGGGCGAATTATGGACGTTTCTCCATTACCATCTGCAACGACCACGGCAACACGGACTGGAGCGTGAATTGCATGTCGCCAAAGTCGCTGCGAGTCCTCCATGGCAGGTAAGTTAACAACCGGTTTACTTGTCATTAATATATTCTAAAATACTAACTAATATGTACAGGGCACCCCCGTTTCAACCGAAAACGCACAGTAATTAATGTAATAATTGCGTTGTATCGAAAGTAAATAATCGGAGTTGTTTGTTAGCCGTCAGTCGTCTATTTCTGTTCTGTTTCCAGTGTCGTTGACTGTCAAAGATTCCCGATTAAAAACTGGACTGCCCTGTACTTCATGCATACAGTATGTTGTGCCAACCAACCTCAACTGTAATTCATGCATTTTTTAAGATAAAATACCCGCTCGGACGGGTTTTTTTTTTACAAAATAAACTGAACTAGCCGCAACAATTACAGCAAACCGGCTAAAGAGAATGTAGAACAATTAATAAGTTGTATTATTACTAATGTTTTTTTTGTACGGGGTGTGCTAACTTTTAGGTGATTCGAGCATTGTCTGGCGTTTTCCTGAAACAATGCGGACTGTTTTTTGTCCGGCAACTGGAACAATTAACAGCAATTAACTCTATGCTAGTTTTTGTACGGCCTAAGCAAATAAGCTGGAACGGCTTTTTCCGATATTAAATTATGGGAAATTGCTAAATTCGGAAACAGTTCACACAAATCCAAACGCAATTATTGAAACAACTAATTATATTAAAATGGAGTAATTACGTAATTGGATTTTTCACAAAAAATAATTCTATTTGGATATGTGTCTTATATAAAATATTGGGTGGGTATATTGTGATTGTAACTTAGCATAAATTTGTATACTTCATTGTTTACTGCCATAATGGGTTTCCACTTTTATCAGAATTTACTCTTCTTGTCTAATGTGTGTTTTGTGCTTTTTTTGTATCTGTCAATATTGTATGTTATATCCCCTATATACATGAAATCTATACCATACCAAATTACACTCGAAACGTGTGCTTGAAATGCTTTTTGTCGAATTCTGGGCTACAGAGACTTTGTGCTTTTGGTTAAAAAAGTTTTCTATTGTGAATAACAACTGCATGACATTAATAAGCGTATAGTGTTAACATACTTTTATCCAACGTCGAATGTGTCATTTAGACATAATTCAAATAAATTTCAAGGCAATGTTGAACAAGTGAAAATCCTTCAAAAAGAAAATACGGTTGGCTTTTAAACAGTTTCACGAAGTTTAGCGAAAATAATTTCGTGATCGAAACCGGGTTAAAAATTTTACGTTAAGTGACCGCAGCATCGGAGCTCGAGCCGAAGGGCCGTTGTTCGTCAGTTGTATTGACTATGTTAATCGGCTTTGAGCTCTAACTAACTTGAGTTAATTGCCCCGCGACATTTTGTGATTTCGTGTCATTAAAAGAATACGCTCCGCACCTAACGAACTTCTGGATTGCCCAATTTATACATTTCCTCCTAATTGCTGGTGTGTACCCGTTGGTAACTTTTATTTGTAAATAACGTACACAAAAATGCTCTCGCCGAATGTCGTGTAGTGGCGTCAGTAAGGAAAATAAACCATTTGTCATTTGGTTAACGTCACACTGTTTTTTTATTTTGATTTAGTATGGACGTGGCGACATTAGAAACGGGGGCTTGAAACTTCCTAGTTTTTAAGCCAAAACGTAAAAACGCCAAATACAAAATTCCTTAAAAACTCACAACGAGATTTATTATTAGTTTCAATTTAGTGAAATGAATTATATGATTAAATTTGTATGTTGTAAACCATGTTCTATTCATATTTTATGCTTCGTAATTGTAGTCCAATAACTATTTAAACGATAAAGTGCCAAACCATGTTTTGCCGGGATTACAATATTCAAAAGATCTACTTTTTTAAATTGTAACATGCTTATTAATTCAATTTTGGGATTAAAATATATCCAACAACTTCAGAAATTTACGAAAATTGAATTTTTATTATAAATTATTACTTTTTAACAATACACAGAGAATAAAGGATTATTCATTACTATTATTACGCTACATTAATAAAATCTGACCCCAATAGAGGATTCTGAATTATGAATTGTTAATTTTTTTTTCTCCATGATTTTGGTACCAAAGCAACTGGCTTTAACTCTCAGTCATCAATCGGAGTTGTTGGAACAAAAAATCCTACACTAATTTGTTTATTGCTAGAAAAAGTAAGATTTAATAGGTTTTTTTTTTGTGCAACGTAAGGAATTTTAATCAATCGCCCGTCTGCCCCCATCTAACGCATTTATTGTGCTAAACAAAAAGGCTAACTGTTTCTAATCCGTCTGCTTTGTGTTGTTAATAACACCGATTATTTTTTCCTTATAACGAGGCTTAGAGCTTAAACCTATGACAACAAACACCATAAAGAGAGAGTTTATTTTCAGATGTTCTAGTAAACAGATCTGTACGATAGATGTCAACAATGAAACCTTTGGCGACCCTTGCCCAGGGACCACTAAATATATAGAAGCACACTATATTTGCACAAATGGTAAACTTCACATAACAAAATTAATTTCGTGATTATAACATACAATATTGTCAGAAACGAGGAAGCATGTTTTTAACCAAAAATAAAGCGTGTATTTATGCTGTGGGTTGTTCTGTAGGTGCACACAACATCAAAACTGCAGTATTCCGGCAAGTACAAGCATGTTCGGCGACCCCTGTCCTGGTACTCACAAGTATCTTGAAGCCCATTACCAATGTTTACCTGGTAAGTGCGTCCACACGCCGTTTCCGCAGATCGTAAACACGGACTCTCCAAAACGTCGCTTTAATTCGAAATTGTTCGTATTTCTTTGTGGGATTTTGTTTATCCGCGCAAAAAGGTAGAAAATTGTATCAAATTACAAAGCTCAAATTTTAATAACGAAAAAAGATTGACTTTTCGAAACGTTGATATTTTTTAAGAAATTTTTTTCGGTCAGCTCCAACTAGGTGTTGGCAGCCCTGGCAACACAATTGTTTCCGTCAGGGCTAAGTAGATATTTTTCCTTGTGATCCTCGTATCTTTGTCTTAAAGAAAAAATGGGTTCTTTTACGCAATCCTGAAACGGGTTTTATGTCGAATCGAATGTTATTCTATGATTACCGCTTTCAGTTTTAAAGTTGTTGAAATTGGCAATAAAACCCCCATTCGGTTGTGTTAAAATTGCCAGGTTATATTACTTCCTCCTATATTCACGTCATAAAAGTCCCTACAGCTTCTCCGCAGTATTTTTAACACAAATCCACTGCCGTGGTAGGGGTGTCAAATGTCAGGTAGATATATGATCTATGGCCACGCCAGTCTTTCCAACGCTGCAATACTATTTTTTATGGGAGAATACAGCTGGTAGCACATAATAATATTTGACGTGAACCGAAGATAATTATTTAGTAGGGCGGAATCTAGTTTTCGAGAAAAAAATTGCAACACTAGAATTATCACTATTTAGAGCCTTGAAAAATGTAAAACACTAATTTCCGGGGAACATGATTTCAGTGTTTATAACGAGAATTTTATGTACAGAGCGTCCCGAATGTTATTTAACCTAACTGCTTTTTTAACAAACTTTATAAAAGTTAATACAGAAGAAAATAAACTTGTTTTTTATCTAGATGTTGCATTACAAACGTTTGCTGTACTTCTGAATGAAACGATGAATAATTTTAGAAATATGCAAGTTTCTCACGATTTTTTTTTTGTACTGTAAGTAATACTTAAATTTAGAATGGCCTACTTAGAGCGGTACACAACATCTACTTTCCCATGCGTTAAAAATTTTGCCAACTAGACTAAGTCGATTGTTTTGCGAAATGAATAATAAACGATTACGAAAAAAATAGTTTTGAAAATTAGAAGGCTGAATGTAAAATATTCGTGTGGCAGTTTCGAAGAGGTTCGATCTTTATACTTCCATATTATTTGACTCCATCAATAACCGGGGTAATGTTATAAAACTCGCGAAGCCGGGATATATGCATGATACGTTTGGGAATAATGCTTTATAATGCAATTTAAATAAATTTAAACTTTATACGGCATTTCTCGCCGGCGTATGCTAAAGTTTCATTTAATATTAACGTACCTATAATAAAAGATAGTTATTAAGCTTTGGATACGTTTCAGTTTCAAATTTCAACCACAATATAGACATTAAAATAATATTAGACCGTGTTTACCTTAATAATACAGTTTTAAATAAATATGCAGTGCCGCGTCTAACATGACGTTTAGTTAAATTAGCGTCCTCAAAATTTTATTCAGTTGAATCGGAATCGATGGCTGATGATACGTTATGCGAGTGCTCATTTTTTAAAAAAATATATTAAGTGTCACGACTTCAGCCGCTCTCATTGAATATGTACAAATACGTGTATCATAGTAATTTGATAATGTGTCTTATTGATTACACTGTAGACATTTTTCTTTAAACACGGCCACCACACTCTCCCGATTTACTCGGAAATAGTTACATTACAAAGCGATTAGTAAGTAAAAAACTCGAGCGGTTACAAAATACCACAAAGAAATAAATAACATAAAAAACTGGTTCGCTTGTTTAGTTTGTACAAAGAATATGGTGTAATTGAAACCGTATATTTGTTGTTGTGCATGTGCTTCCTCGATTTCTTACAATAATGACAAATTTCACAAATGATAATATACACATAATAATACTGTAAGTAGTAATCAGTGTCAAAAATGACACCCAAGGATAAGTTGTGAAAGAAATCGATAAAATACTACTACCAATTTGCTGCTCGAAGTGCGATTTAACATATTAATATAGCCGGGCCATGTAAAGCAACATATAATACAGCTACTCCGCTTGTAATACACGTTTTACCAAGCATGCGACTTTTTTTATCCAGTTCTTAACAACCACACATGATTAAAAATCGCTTATGAGAAATTGCACAGTGCGACAGATGACATTTTATTTCCAGTTTTTCATGTTGTCTAAAAAAAAGGCACCTGCGCGATATTGTAAGCAGCGTCATATACTAAAAGCATTTTAATTACGTTTCCTTTATCCTTAATTAAATACGATCTGTGCAAGCTTTTAACAAAAATCTGCAGAGTATTGTGAGTGTTACGATTAACAAATTATAATTACCTAAATAACGCAAAATTTATTTGTATGGTACGTACTTCCGTGTATTTTTCAGGAATGTGTAGAATATATCCGAAGAGATTACAGAAATTATGAGGTCTAAATAATTTACATATATGCTGATTACAACACAGCCAGTTGTTTATTTTAATTGGCCTATTTAATTTTGTGGATTCCCCTTACATATGGCCATTAATTATACGACACTCGGTCTGTGTTATAATAATATGTAAATGTTATGTTTGACATTATGTCTAATTGAACAACATTAGAAAAGTCAATTCAATAATACGAGTTAAATTAATATAATAATGTTTATTAGGGTTTATACAAACGGAATGCGTTCGTTTTAATTGAGTTTTAATTTGCGACCCGTTGTTTAAATGTTTTGATAAACAAACAAATGTCGACAATAATATAACGTAAAACCCGTTTCTATGTTTAAAATTATACCGCGGTCGGCTTTATCATAATATTACATTTACAGTTGAATTCGGTGATTGAACGCAGCTTATTTTTAATTTGTGTGGGAACGTTGCGATTGACCCACTGAATTTAAACAAGCGATGAAATTTAAATCGCCCTCCGCAAATTACTTGTTAAACGTACAAACACAACTCTTTTTAACTATTTGCTGTTACGTGTTGGATGAAGGAAATGTTTACTTTGGGTCGAATTTTATATGACACACTGAAAATTTGGTCAAATTTAACGAAATACACTGCTTGCCTCTGAACGTGCATCAACATTTTGAGCTCTCAGTAGCTTCTTTTTTTAATAGCTTCAAGCATACATATTTAATAATGGGGTAGTTTCCTTCTACTGCAAAGAAATGACAGTTAATTTAAACCGGCAATTTTTTTCTCATTTTAATACGATTTTTTTTTGTCTACGACGTCACTAAGCGAATAATTAGGGAAATCACTAAATGTGTATTGGCACACTGGTGGGGTGGCATAACTGTTAGCGATTCTGCGTCTTCAAATAGAGGTCGCTGCGGTCCCTTCGGTAATCGAATGAAATGGGATGAAACGTTGCCAAATTCAGTGATTTGTCACAAGCAAAATATAAAAATGATTTTTACACCAGTCAAAATATTATTTGAAAATTTTTATAACTAGAATCTTTATTAATACTTTATGATGGGTATGACATTATTTGCCAAAATAACTTATGATCATTTAATGGTAATTTTCAAATTTCAAAAATTATATTTCATTGAATAATTGCCTTCTCATTCTGATTGCATGTCCTAGTGTCAGTTTATAGAAAAATTACACATACTTTTGATCATTTTAAATATTCTTTGGTCATTCGATTGCTACCAGTCACTTGCACTCAGTTTGGTTCCTTTGATAATTTTTGGTAAATGCTTGGCAACACTATTTACACACCAGTAATTCATATATCTGAAATTTGTAATAATAATTTTATACGTTATTTTTAATTTACAAATGGTTATTTTATAACATTCCTTGTTTGTCAGGATATTTGATAAATCTGGCAACATTGAAGGAATTGCATAAAAACGCGCACATGTTGCCACTACAGTAGACTAAAAATTACTACATTTGGTATTGTTTACATGTTTAAATTTTTTGAAGAGGTCGAAATGACAGGAAACAATACGGTTCCCACATTTTTTAACCTATTTTCATTTTGTGATATGGTAAAAATATTGGAAAATACTACCCCATTATGTATGTAATTCTTTTCATTACACTTTCTGTGAAAACAGAATTCATTCCTTGAAGCTAATTACAAGCAGTTTATTTGTACTGTACTATTTTATATCGCGTAAGTTAATAAAAATCTATAACACAGCATTATTTAATATTCCAAGACATTTATAAGTAAGTAAATGAAAAACTTCAAATAATATTTTGTCTAGTTGTTTGGATAATATATTATTAGATAACAGAATTTTTATCCTATATCGCTTAATTTGAATGCAAGCAGAAAAGCTGTATTATTTGAAAAGTTCATCAAATACAACGAACCTCGTCCCTATTAGCTACTACGACAACGACCACGAGTCGGCCAAGTCCGCCATGGTTGATAACATCGCAGCCGCCCATGTGGAGCACGATCAAGCCGCCCTCGGCCAGGCCGCCTCATCTGCTGCCCCCTTCGAAAGTTTCATTCACTCCGCCATCGCCAGCCCCGGTTCCAGCGACTTCAACGGCAAAACCCTCGTCCACTGCCAGTCACTTTTCTCCGACACCGCCGCACCACCAACAGCGACCTATAGACATTGACTCCGAACAAGGTTATCCAGAAGAAATCACTACACTGCCGTATACAACCGTTTCTCCCAAGGACGGAGAACCCGTGAAAGTAACGACACGTGAGTATTTTATGTTTTTATTAAATAAGCAAACTCCATACTGAAATTTGAATTCCAACAGCTGATACGATAATGCAGTCGTATACGTACGAACCAAGCGTGTTACCTTCCGGTGGAAAAGACTCGGACATTATGCCATACCACTGTAGTCCGACCGTAATCCGCAGCATCTACTGGAATTGGACCAAAGCGAACTCTACGTCCATCCAGCCTTGCCCGGGCGGCACTACGGGTTTCGCAAAGTGGCACTGCCAAGGGTTTTCAGATTCCCGACTACCTCAATGGTACCCTCCGAATCCGGACTTGAGCGAATGCCGCTCCGTGTGGCTGACGAGTTTGGAACAGCGAATAATCGCCGGAAGAGACCCGTTGGTCTCCATAACGAACGACTTAGCTCAAGTAACTAGTAGTAAGATTTTATACGGCGGTGATATGATGATCACCGCCAAGATCATACAGAAAATGACGGACAAAATGAACAAAGATATCCAAACGGTCCCCGACACGCGGCAGCGAGAAGCTATCGTGACTGAAATGTTGATGGGCGTCGCAGAGACCGGCAGCAATCTCCTCGATTCGTCACAGCACCCCTCTTGGAGGGATCTTAGTTATAAGGAACAAATGAGCGTCGCAACAAATCTACTCATCGGACTGGAAGAGAACGCGTTTCTTCTAGCCGACACCGTTATGAGCAAGAAAACTGTAGATAAAGAATTTAAGAATATATGTAAGTTGATTTATTGTAAATCCTTTTTTGTTTTACTTCATCGCAACTTTTTTAGTGCTTTCGGTGCGAATCTTGGATACGAAATCGTTGAGCAGCGAGAAGTTCCCTTCGGACGACATGAAGACGGAGTGGCACGCCAGCAACGATTCCATCGAACTGCCCAAGGGGGCGTTGTTGGAAAATAGCGACGGGAACCTAGTGAGGTTGGTTTTCGTGGCTTTCGACCGGTTAGAAGAAATTTTGCAGTGGCAGCCGGACGCTGCGGAGTCAGGCAACTCGAATAATGTATCGAAAGTCTTAAATAGCAAAGTAATTTCTGCTAGTCTTGGTAAAGGCAGGCATATCCAGTTGAAGGAGCCTGTCAAACTCACTTTGAAACATTTAAAGACTGAGAATGTAAGCAATCCGAGGTGTGTGTTTTGGGATTACACAACCAACTCGTGGTCTGAGGAGGGCTGTCACGTCGAAACGTCACATTCGAATACGACTCATACTGTTTGTTACTGTGATCACTTGACGAATTTTGCCATACTGATGGACGTCCATGCCATATATTTGCCAATTCCGCACGAAATTGCTCTTCAGATCATCACCTACATCGGCTGTATAGTATCTATTATATGCTTGATATTAGCCATCATCACATTTCAATTGTTTCACGGGCTCAAGGTAATTCGAATCCGCTCTAGATTTAGTTCGTCGGAATAATCCTGTTTTTATTTTTAGAGCGATCGAACGACAATCCATTGTAACTTATGTGTTTGCCTTTTAATCGCCGAGATTATTTTCCTTCTCGGTATAGGCCAGACTGATAACCGAATAGTTTGTGGGGTAATCGCCGGATTTTTACAGTATTTCTTCTTGTGTGCTTTTGTGTGGATGTTCTTCGAAGGTCAGTTGTTACGTGCCACTTTACGGAAACAAATAACGTAAATAATGTTTTATTTCTAGGTTTTCAGTTGTACGTGATGCTGATTGAGGTGTTTGAAGCTGAGAAATCTAGAGTCCGCTGGTATTACTTCTTCGCATACGGTCTTCCCTTCCTTATTGTGTTCATTTCCGCCACAATTTATCCACAAGGATACGGGACGGATAGACATTGCTGGCTTCAAACTCAGAACTATTTCATTTACAGTTTCGTCGGTCCCGTTATTGTAGTCATAGCGGTAAGTTTGTTTAATAAACGCCAATTAAGTTTTTACCGAACAAATTTCATTTTTTAGCTGAATCTTATTTTCCTGACCATGGCCATAGTTATGATGTGTAGGCACGCTAGTAACTCTGTATCCATGAAGAACAAGGAACATTCCCGACTCGCCAGTACCAGGTAAATTTTTTTATCTAATGTTTTCGATGTAACCCACGATTACGAATTGAAAATGTCATCGATGTTCATGAGACTTCGCTTAGTTACTCATTTATTTTATTTTACATCACTGCTTAACACTAGGTATAATAGTTAACTTAAGAGGGCTCTATAGCAGATAGGCAACCAGCCATACATTTTTATAGATTTATTACGCAGTTTGTCTAAATATGAATCAAGGCATAGATAAGAGACTTTCCTCCATTCTAACGCGGATTTTCTATAAAGTGGAGTTCGTTTGAAACTCAAATTACTTTTTGTTGTGAAGAAATTTGTAATTTGCACCGTAAATTACAAATTTCTTTACACCAAAAAGTAATTTGAGTTTCAAACTAACTCCATTTTATAGAAAATTTGCCTTAAAATGGGGGAAAGTGCATTAATTCATATTCTGACAAACTGTGTAACAAAATTTATAAAAATGTATTGCTGGTTGCCTATTTGCTATAGAGCCCTCTTAAATAACCACATAAAAAATTAAGTTGCTGTTTAAAGTACAATGGTTACGCTTTGGGAATATTTGACCTACCCTTGTTCTGGGACTAGGCCCTGTGGGGGCCGACCTGCTGTCGGAAACCGTTATTATTTAAAAGATAGTGGTGTAATCGCCACGATTTCGGGAATTTTCGTTATCAGTAGAAGTAGTAATGTTGGTTGCCTATACTGAGCTGTCACGTGGCTCTTAAACATTTACGAATACTCTGTAGCTGTTCGAGTTTATTATTTGGTGGATTTCTATTGTTAAGCAGTGTATGTGAAGGATTAAAATAAATTTCTGCATGGGAACATTACTTGTCATGAAATGTGGTGTTCAATTATAGGAATTAAGGTAGAATTATGAAATAATAGGTATGGCATTGAGATAAATTATGGTTTGATCTTGGGCTTTGAGAATGTAAAAAATTGTAATAACATGGGACGGTAATGTGGTATAATGAGTGCGTAATTAGTATAAAAACTTTTTTCGTAACACTTATTTGTAACTGATTGGTATATCACTAATAACCATTTTTAATAACTTTCAATGGAAACGTGTAGTCATTCGGAAAAATTACCTTCTTTCTTTTTATATATAAATTAAGGGGGTCTATAGCAAATAGGCAACCAGCAATACATTTTTATTCATTTTGTACAGTTTGTCTAAAAATGAATTAATGCACAAATAACAGACTTTCCCCCATTTTAATGCAGATTTTCTATAAAATGGACTTTTTGATGTAAAGAAATTTGTAATTTGTCGCTTTTGAAGAATTTAAGTTTCAAACTAAGTCCATTTTCTAGAAAATCTGCATTAGAATGGAGGAAAGTCTGTTATTTATGTATTAATTAATATTTAGACAAACTGTGTAATAAAATCTATAAAAATATATTGCTGGTTGGCTATTTGCGGTAGAGCCCTCTTAATTTTCAAATTTGATCAATTTCCCTGAAATTACAATGAGACATTTACGTATTTTTAAATTTTTTACTGTTCTAGTGGATGTGTGTTAAATGTTTGCCCAAATAAATGTGTAAGCATGTTCTCCAATTTCGAAAACTGTAGATCTTTTATAAATTTTTGGTTCTGGTATTTAATTTTTTTAGTTAAAAGATACTAGTTTAGTCAAATAATTTTGAGTGAGTTACTAACTTGACTTTCAGGGGATTCTACTTTCACTCAAATTTATTTGTTGTATGTGGTGTGGTTATTAATTCTAATATAATTTCTCTCTCTTGCATGGCGTCTTATCCTATGGTAGTGGAAAGGAGGAAAATGCACTTCAAATCAAATTTCAAGCTCACTTGTAAGAAACTTTTCTTTAACATCTTTCTTACTTATCTACCATAATCAGTAGTACCGCATGTGAATTTTGTTTTGCATGATTAACAAATAAAAATCTATGCGACAAACGATCGACAGGCGATAAAAACTGCTTTGTCTTTAATAAACGATGTTTAATCTTTATGGGTTCTATGAATTTTGGAAAATGTATTGCCTTTCGATTGGGGGAGCCCAGTGAACGTGTAATATTTGCATTTACTTTTCAGGGCCTGGTTGAAAGGTGCTTTCGTCCTTGTGTTCCTTCTCGGTCTCACATGGACCTTCGGTTTTCTGTATCTCAACAAGGAGTCCGTGGCGATGGCTTATCTCTTCGCCGCCTTAAATTCCCTGCAAGGATTCTTTATATTCTTGTTCCACTGTATCCAAAACGAAAAGGTAAGATGTTGTACGTACAAGCAAACTTCGACGTTACTGTAAACTTTCAATCTTTGTCATTATCGTAATCACTTATAATGGATTATTAACGCCATAACTTCACTGTAACATATCATTTTTATAGTGTATTCATGTATTCCCTGATAAATATATATACCCCTGTAAAAAAAGTTAAATAAACGACTTTAGAAAACATGACCTCGGTTTTCATTCACATTTTGAGGTTATGAGATTTCTTTGCAGCCATTGATCCCTTATGGAATGAAAAGCATGGAAGTTTACCACGATTTTTTCAATCAAGCCCTTTTTCATTCCACATAAATTGTTTAAGTTGAGACGCACCGTACCGCTTTATTGTTTTCGCTTGTTCTTTTCTTTTTTTTAAGTCGATTATATTTATTTAGTGCACAGTTTTGATTGGTTTCTTCTTTAGGTCCGGAAGGAGTACCGTAAGTTCATAAGAAGGCAGTCTTGGCTACCGAAGTGTTTGCGTTGCTCGAAACCGAGCGGCGGCGCCAGCAGCAGCAGCGGCAGCTCTGGGATGGCAAAAGAGCGCAGGACGAGCCTGTACGGTGGCTCGAACGGCAACCAATCGGGAGGCACCAATTCCCACTCGACAGACAATTCCGTTCTCTCGCCGCATGGAACTAGTGTGGGTACCAACAGTATAGTCATCTCCAATAACCTTAATAACGCGCGACCTACTGCGCTAGTCCAGATTCTGTCTAGAACTGATCTCAACAATGCTAGTACCACCATGACCAACCACAATCGACTGCATAATGTGTCGCAACAAGGTACTGCCAACATAAAGATGCTTTCATGCAGCTCGTTTTGTCTTCTCTATTACCGTGGAGTGAATTCGCCATAAAAGTCGCTAATTTTTTGCGGTAGAGTCTCTTCGCCCCAAAACGATTTCGTTCGTAGCTCAAAAACTATTAGAACGACTAAATAACACATATACAGGGTGTCTTAAAATTTCATAAGTAAAAAATTTTGGTTAAAACTTAATTCTCAAAATAAAAGAAATTCTTGATATTGTTTTAAAAGGTCTGCCAAGACGATCTGATTCTACAAAAAAAAACTGACGTTTTGGGTGTAATTCGCTCCACGATCATAATCCTGTTTTTCGCTTATCTTTCTAATAGTGTGTCACCTGTCCTTACAGCACCTGTGTGTGACATTGTTATGTTCAAGTCCGCGATTTTCGTCCAGCTACGGCACGTTTCATCTAATGAAGTCATTTGTTAGGTTAAATGTGTCAAAAACGCACCTCTGAAGTATTAAGTCTCAAAAAATGCTCAAGTATTTAAAAAAAATGTTGCTAGGCTTCCTAATATTGGCTTTCAGTAAATTCAGATTGTGAACTCGTACTCCAATGTAGTCGCAATTGATTAAAGCTAAATTCTAAATATTCTAAACGCATGTATACTCCAGATTGAATTTTTTATTTGATATTTGAGTTCTCCACTTTCTTGCAGCAATCTGTCAATTCTTTCCTAACTCATTCTATTACAAACTAACTAATCAAAGTTTCTGGTCAATGGAATAGGGTGAAAGTGATTAAGTATGCGTGGAACCATCGTCTTGTAACAGGTCAGTTGGTATTCTGATAGAGAACGGTTCAAGTCAGTCAGCTCGGTTCATAAAGTGAAATTGATTAAAATCGACATAAATGTTTTTGGGTAGTGGAAAAAAGAAGCAGTTCGCATATAACGAATAAAATAGTAAATAAATAAATAAATTACACGTAATACGAACCTGTAATGACTGTGTGCAACAGAATCATTAAAAATCGAGATGTGTAGAATGCCAATGTTCAGAAACCAGCACCATGTAAAATTTAGTTGATATTTTAAACTACCTTTTTCTGACAGAGTGTCCTATAGCAAATAGGCAGCCAGCAATACATTTTTGAGCTTCAAATTGAAGCTATTTTATAGCAAATCTGCATTAGAATGGGGATAGTCTGTTATTTGTGCATTGATTTATATTTAGACTAGAGATGTGCCGCAGACATGTCAGCTGGACATGTCCATCCGACATGTCGTGAAAAGTGGACATGTCCTGAAGACACTTTTCAAGATTGTTAAGTTGTATGCGCATGCGAGGAATTATTTGTTGCATTCATAATTCCCGCAAAAAATTATTGAGGTTGGTACATGTAAAATTAAAGATATTTAGCCATTTTCTTGTAATTTTGTTGATATGTCCATATTTTATTATTTATGGCAAAGTTAACGTTTTGTAAATATAATCAGTTGATTCTTAATTTAATATTTAATACACAAATAGTTTATAAATGAGGTATGATGCTAAAATCAACAGTTTGGTTATATTTTTCTGAATTGAGTAAAATTCATTATAAATGTAACTTCTGCTCAAAAACAATATTTAAGAATTCCAGTAGGATGGAAAAACATTTAAATAACTGTATTGGCTATCCGGGGAAAATTAGAAACCAGTTTATAAAAAAAATCTAAAGATAGGTTCATTCATTAGAATAAAAGTAATATTTTGCTTTGTGTACCCTCAAGCAGTGACCTGTGAAAACATAACGTCACTCGTAGGTGCCTTATTAGATTCAAGGTCAAAAGTATTTTTCGCGACATGTCCAGACATTTCATCGACATGTCCGTAACGCACTTTTCCGAAAAGTGCCGGTTGCCTATTTGCTATAGAACACTCTTAGTTTAATTCATTAATAGTTTAGTGGTCAATATTTTCTCAAAAAAAATTAAGTATCTTTCAAAATGAGGCTAGTCTCAGTTGCCTGCGATTAGCAGTTAGAACTTAAAAACAATCATTACACTGAGAGAAAGGCAGCGAAAGTATGAGGATAAAAGATTTTCAGTAACATCGAAATCACTTCATTTCAAAAACCTTGACGTAATAGTTAATTAGATTTTCCTTAGTATTTTTACTAATCAGTTGCTAGATAAGATAAACGAATGCACCACAACTCGTTTAAAATTAAAACTAATTAAAGTAGTAGACAGAATCTTTTCGAGAGAGCCATAACAAAACAAGCCATGCAAAATGTACTTTCGAGCTGCTTACTAACTAGTGTTGTGGTGGTGCGTGCATTGTACACCTCTTGGCATGTATTTTATTTTACTGGTGTGGTAAGACTTACTAATGCTTCCTGCTTAGTCGACTAATTAAAGGTGAAGGTGAATTTTGTTGCAGTTACAGCGCGGCTGGAACTCCCGGAGTTGTACCAATGTCAATCGAATTTGCAAAACTCCTGTGCCCACATCTACTTCGGGCAACATGGCTGCTACTCTGTCACGCCCGATTCGGGCTACAGCTACAAACCCTTCTCCTGATATGGAACCTAATACTTCTACACTCCCTTACATTCGTAATTTTTATAAAAACTCTACTAACAACCCTAACATACCTAAATCGGTCTCTACCTGGGGTCCTCTACATAAACCCCTACACTGGAAGGTGCGTAGATGCTGTTGCACAACTTTCTTCTCTTTCTTTTAGTAGATCAGCATCGAGGGCATATTTTGTCGCGTTTCATACCGAGAAAAATATACCCTCGATGTTGTTAGTTCGCATGTAATCTATTTCTTCAGAATGTATCCAACTTGTAGTGCAGAAATACTTAGATTTTTGATTTTAAATGTTTGTCTGTTAAAGTGTGCGAAAATTTTTAACGCGTTAAAACGTTTTTATTTGCAGAACATTTCTTTTAAGTCGTGTAGCCGAGACTCAGGTCACGGAGGTTCAGAGCAAGAAGATTCCCCTAGGTCGCACATGGTAGTGACGGATCCCGGCCACCACCTCCAATGTAATACCAAAGATGCTAGACATCAGGCGGCCCTCCAAGCGAATCAGGATTTCATAGACTACGGACTGAGACTTGAACCGAACATACAACCGAAACACCTACCGCTACCCCAAACATTACACGGAACGGGAAGAAAAAAAAATGGGGGCACCTTGAAGCCGAGTCACTGGGGTCATCACACTTACACCGAAATATACGACGCTCAAACCCCGAGGGGGCTCGTCCCGGAAGACGACCCAGTGTACGAGGAAATAGACAGGAACGAGATTCAAGTCTCGGATATGAGCGACGAAGACGGTAAGAGGCAAAGCGACATGAGCAGGCAATCGTCCCGATCCTACGGGGACCACCGTCCTCTGATTCCGTATAGTCCAGGAAATGACCGAAGTTTTCTCGAAGCGATGAGCAACAAGCACTATGCCAAAGATATGAACCACTGCAACAGCAACATGGACACATATCGCAGACGCAACATGTCTTATCGCGCTGGTATCGGAGACGCCGCCGCGGTCCGCTCCCTGGCAGCCGTGTTGGATGGTGAAACGGTTGTGTGTCACTTAGAACCTCCCGAATTGTATCCAAGCGATGCGTACTTGTCTCGAACTTTAGTCCTTCCCCCGTATAGTGAGAGTTAGGAAACTGCCATTGCAAGTGAATATCTGTGATTACCACATGATCAGACTTTAAGGTCATATTTAAATAATTAACTTAGTAAAGCTCAGCTTGTATGAATGAAGGAAAGTGATAATTTTATAATAATCAACTATTTTATAAAGAGTATTTCTGTGAATAAAATGTCTTAGTTGTGAGTTATTCCAGTCACTTGTTAATATTTTCTCGACATTTTTAAATAGTTGCAATAAATTTTTGTTATACTCTGTACTATTAAGTAATCATGTGACATCTGTATACCTTATATATTATGAATGCTTGCTGTAAAAGTGTTCTCTCGCAGGAATGACGAAATACTTGTTCGTAAAGCCGCTTTGGAAATTCAACCATGTTTTTAATCGCGGCTTTACGAAATTTATTTTTCTCCACCTGTATAAAACTATTCCTTCCATTTATTTACAAATACCACAATCGTGATACGTTGTTTTTACTTATTTTAATAGGGGGATTCCAGACCCTAAACTCCCAGTAAAATTTTTCAGCGTTTTTATTTATTTGTAATTATTTATGTAAAATTTTATTGGGTTCGACAGTTTGTAGTGCTTTTAAGTTGTAACTTAGCAAGCACAACGTATGTAAATATAGGAATAAAGTTTCTCATAATAATTAAAGAAACTTTGGCAGTTTTAATTTTGTATTTTAATTCATACTCAGGATATACTTTTTCAATGGTCCCCTTTCATGTCAGAGCTCAGAAAATCTCTACGGTCGCCAGTTTTCAACAAATATGAAATACATTCATTAGCAAAGCAACAACTTTGGGTAAGTAAGTAGTTAAATTACTTAAAAATTCTTCGACTCCGAACATGGGAACGTTTCTTACGAACGTGGGTCGGACACGGAAACCATTCGATTTTACTAAATGTCAAATGTATCGTGATGTTTAGATTGAAATTACGTAAACGTATGCCTCTGGTTTAGATCCACGTTCGCAATAAAACCCGCTTCACTTTTTCGTAGAAATTAAGATCAAAATCGTTCGATTCCGAACCGAACTGCTTTATCAAACTAGTTGCTTGCCCAACTTATGTGGAGTTTTCTGATGCCGTAAATGTGAATCGATTCCTGTGTGTTGTTCATAAAGTTCTAACCACCAATTAGGAAATGTTTGAATAACCTATGAATACCCTAATTATTAGAGTTGTAAACTCAGTGTTTTTTAGGTTATATCAATTGATAAATGGCACGTTCGCATTTATTTCGACAGTTTTCAGATTATAGCCACTTATGTATTTTGTTCAACTGTATATATTGTATAGTGCTTTGTACATGATCATTCTTGAATGGACTTAGGTTTATAAAGTAAATTGTTATTCTTGCTATGTCCCTTAACGCATAGCCAAAATAAACAATACACAATTATATACAGATATTTAATTTTAACGTAAATCCAGAAGTTTGTCCAATAAAATTCATTTTCATGTAAACTTAAATTTATTACCTCCGTCCAACCTAGACTTTCTATAAAAAAAAATCATTGAAGCTGTTTGGAACTTTTTCACTGTACGTATATTTTGTTTGTAGAAAAAAAAAATTTATTCACAAAATTTATTACGAAACTATAAACTCTGGTGATACAAATCCGATGTACAAAACTGGACAAAAATATAACAATTTAGCAATTCGATCTCATAAACATGTCGAACATATTCAACCAGTGATTCTACATGGGGATTGCTTCCTCGGCTTTTGGTTTCCTGGGAAACAAGAAGTCCAAAAATTGTTTGCAGAGTTCGAAACCTACGAAACAAGCAGCGTTGGCCGGGATGGCCCGTAAGAAAACGGGGGTGATTCCTTTGTATAAAGCGAGTGGGCCCTCGTTTTTCATTAAATGTCTGAACACGTCTCTCACTCCATTCGGGAAAGTGCCTTCAGGGGCTGGAAAAATATTTCATATTGGAAATGTGCTACAACTCGACTAATCATCCTTACCTGTCTGAAGACGGCTTTTTAATACATCTGGAGGCATGCCTACTACCCAGTAAGCAATACCCGCAGCACCGCCTGCTAGTATCGTTCCTAATATGCTCGGAGGCTTTTCTCCATTATTTGTTATATAGTCTTTAATTGCTTCATATGCTAGGAAATACATTCCACTTGCTGGAATATCTGAAAGTTGAATTAAATAACTATATTAGAAAAAAAAAATTTTTTTTTTCATATTGTTGTGTTTTTTAAAATATACATGTTTAGGTAATTTCCACCTGTTTCCATTTAAACTGCTGGGGCACTCCAACAATCCAAAAGAGATAAGAGTATATCTAATTTTCATAACACATTTACAAGGAAATGAGTGGGGGTGCACATCCTGTATAGTATCATCAAATTATAGAACCAACATCTCGACAGTTTCAGGAAGATGTTGAATTATGTGGTTTTGGTTTTTGTGCTATCAAATTTTGTCTCGGGGGTAAGTGAAGGTAGCATTATTTGGAATAGATAGTTAAAATGTTATTTTAGTCCTCTGGGCTATGGGATCAGGACAATAATTGTCCTTTGATATGCACATGCAGGTTGCAACATTTAACCGAGAGTGCTATTTATCGGTTTATGCAGAAAGATAAGAATGTACCCATGCCAGGTGAAATTGGATCAGTCGAGAACAATGAGGTACGTATATTTTTTATTTAATCGAAGTTTGGTTATCAATAGAAAAATTTATTTTCTTAATACTGCGTAATGAAAATATAACAAGCTTTATCGCAGATATTTAAGTGGGTGTAATTTGCAAATCCAACTTAGATAATTTATAAAAGTGTGTCGGATCTACTGTGAACATTTGAAGATATTATTTACCAAATATGACAACTTTGAATATTTTTTGGTTCTCATTTACTTTCAGGTCGTTTATGAGGAAAACTTAGATACTATGGAAATGCTTGATGAACACCAATCCACGATAGTTCGTTCAGCGATATGCATTTTACAAACAGAAACCGAACCGATCCAAGTATTAGAGAATTTACCCAGCAATATCGAAACCCTAACTCTAATCCAGGGGTACGAATCTGGAAACAAGACAATCAAATTCAGTTACCTGAACAAATTTCCTCAGCTCCTAAGTCTGGAACTTGTTGGACCTCACATGGTGAATAAGCCCGTTAATAGTCATTTGATTTGCGAAATCGACTTGCCACTGCCAAACTTAAAATATCTAAATTTGGAGAGGATCTTAATAAGGAACAGTAAGCAACAGGAAGAAAACTTTTTAAAAGAGTTCAAGGAGGAAGATCTGACATTTGAATACGTACAGAAATTAGACAGGCATTTCCATCCTTTGACAATGGTTCAAAAAGGGACTGTTGATGATAACGTTGTGCCTTATAAGGTATTTAAAGAGCAGAAAGAAACTGATGGTGACGTTCCATTATTCATAGGGTTTAAAAAATTGTTTTTGCTGCGAATAACAAATTGTGAACTAAATAACGTTCATTGGGAAATGTTTGACGGTTTACGAGACTTGCAATATTTAATTCTCGAAAGAAATAATTTACGATTCATACCAGCTTTTGCATTTTATGGTACGCCAAACTTAAAAACATTATCGCTTGCTCACAACAAACTATTAGATATACAAATAACTGATTTAGCAGGATTATTAGAATTAGAATATTTAGATCTTTCGTTTAATAACTTCACTCAACTTTCAGAACTTTCTTTGCCCCCTTTCCCAAAACTGAAATTAGCTAATTTTGGTAATAATCCTATTAGTATAATTTTCCCCAATACTTTTGAAGTTATGAACACTACAGATTCTTTAATAATTGGTAGTGACGACATCCCTTTAACTTTAATAACAAATTCGTTTATTGGTTTAAATATGTTACAAAAATTAACTTTAAACAACCTGGAATTGGAAATATTAAAAAGGGATTTATTTATGGGTATGCCAAGCCTTACGGAATTAATATTATCTGGTAATATAACAAAAATAGAGTACGATGCATTTTTGGAAGTTAACCAAATTGGAAAATTAATTTTAAGCAATTGCCAAATTACTAACATGTCGATGGATGCATTTATTGGGTTACAAAAATTACATTATCTCGATTTATCTAAAAATAAATTGGAGTACTTACCACCTGGAATTTTCGATAATTTAATAAGCATTAAAGAGCTTTACTTAAATGGAAACAACTTGAAACAAGTATCGCGTGACATATTTTCAAAAATTCACCCAAAACTGCTCAGACTCAGCGATAATCCATGGCACTGTTCGTGTGATATGAGTGAATGGAAGCCAATGATTGTTAACAAAGTCAAGCAACGAAGTTTTAAACCATGTGAATATACAGGCGACAAGGGTATAGGATGTACAGCTAAAAATCGTTTTGATTATAAGTATGTTTTTGACAATAAAGTAGCACCTAGGTGTGCAGAGCCTCGACAGTTTGTCAACTGGAGTGTATTCCATGCAATGAGACGGATTTTAAGATGCCCTGATTACAAACCTAAATTCCGAAAACATACAACTCTGGGTCATTCGAATGAAGTCTCAACTCAAATATACACAACTGAAGCTCCCAAGTCAATCAAATTTGAAAAATTGCAACTAAAACTAAAGAAAGGCATATTTATTCCTCCCAAAGTTGAATCAAATATCAAGCCAATGTCAGATGTGCACGAAAATCAGATTAATAGTCTTAGTCCAATGAATAACCATCAGCCATTTGTGAGAAATTTTGAGAATGGGAAGAAGCCCCGCAAAATTCGAAGGAGACTTAGGAAAGGTAGTAGAAGATTAGTACAGAAAAATGAGGAAATAAGTAACTCTATCAACACCAACAGCATCTTTTAGTAACATTTAAAATTAATTTAAACAAAATTTTGTGGTTTTATTTAAATTTTAGAAAACGTCAGCTCAACGCTATCAACGATAGGTATTTTTGAAAAAGAATGTTTCATTTTTGTAAATGTAGACAAAACTTAATTTTGTTAATTTATTTATAAAATTTAAAAACTGTGTTCTATATTATGTTAGTTATATTTGTATTACAATATTTTATTGTCTTTAACTGCATACTGTTCAGTTTTTTCTTTATAAATATATTAGGAAATGTATAGCGCATATCTGCTCCTATATAATTATGAAATAAAAAATTTGTACTAAAATGTGTGTTTTATTTTCTATAACTGGGTATAATAGAAAACCAATTTCCTGGGAAAATTTTTCAAAGAAAAAACTCACCTCTTAATAGTGTTGCTCCTGATCCCCTGTAGATACTTCGCAGGCCCCCTTGTTTATATAGCTTTTTAGCACAATCTACAGGCCCATCGTATACTTTAGGAGCGTTAGCTCCCTGCTGAATTTGAAGTAAACATTTGATCCGTTCACCAGGAGCCATTATCACAGTTGTAAAAATACCGGAAAAGGCCCCAGCAGAAAAATATTCTAAATAAGACAACTGTTTGCCACCAGAAGGGCTAAATATTTTCTTCCCAACACCATATCCAAGAAATGAAATGGCAAAAATAGGTGCTACACCTACTAATGGTGCTCCCATACCTTTATATAAACCCTTAAAGCCTTCATTTCTTATCGTCTTTTGAAAACAGTCAAATGTGCCTGTATATAAAGGAACTTCGCCTGCTAATTTTGGAACAGGCATAGTCTGCAGTCTTACCTATAAATGGTGACATTGTGGATGTGAATTTTTCAAATATAATTTCAGACATATTAATAGAAGATATAATGTTAATATAAGTTATTCAAAACTGTTGCAAATTATATTATTTTCCTTGAAAATAAAAATATACATTTGCCCTGTTGAACTTTGACCGGATTCAAAATTTAAAAATATTTCAAATTAAAGAAAATATTTTACTAACATATTTCTTACTATTAACCTTCCTGAAGAATGTAAAAGTAAACCAGTTTCACAAATTATAAATGTTTAATATTATTTAAAAAATCTTACTTTTACTGTATCTAGGGGATGTCCCACTAAGACCGTACATATCCCCCCAAAGCCACCACAAATAAAATACTCCCCAGGGCCCATTTCACTCATTTTGAAAAATATGTTTCGATTTAAAATAAAATACTGGGTTAAATACTTTCAACCTTGCTACAGGCAAATCAAAGGTTACAATTTACATTAAAGCATAACATGACACATTCAACACAATTTAGTGGTCAAATCAAGTTAAATTATAGGCAGCTTCCCTTTTATCTTAAATAAATGTCACATATGATGTCAAGACTAATCACATAGGCCGTGTTCTTTTATTCAGCATTTCGATGTGATGGATTCCGTAGAGCCAATAAGAGATTAGAATTTTTTAAACAGACCAATCGTAATACATCGATGGAATTCATCGCATTAAAACGAGGAATAAAAGAACACGGCCATACTTTTTAGAACTTGTATGTCCATTCGAATGAAACAAAATTTTAAATCTATGTATTATGTGAGAAGGTAAATTTTTAATTACTTTTTACCGAACTAATTAAACTTTCTGTTAATTAATTAATAACTATAAAATAAAAGCACATAGAAACCGCTTTTAATGATCTATGAGTTCATTGACAACGTAAGAACATTTGTATTTATATTATCCTTAAAGTCAAAAGGTTACAGCTTTGTTTCTACAATTCTTACGAACTATAAACAAAGGTTAAAAGTGATGAATTTTTGATTGACGAGTACAAATGGAATGACCCTATTGCAGCTACCTTCTGTAATTAATGTCCAGTTGAAAACGCCCAGTTTCAGTAATAACAATACGTGTGGACGCACCTTTAGTGAGTTTGGTGCTTCTATGGCTGCTGAGCGTTGGTGAGGCTGGCTAGATCAAGCAAATTTTTTTCAATTTGCGTCATTTTCATTCATCTAGAGGAGTGCAGTGCGAAGTGGTGAAGTAAGCTCAACCCACAATAGGTTTATTTTTATGTGGCATACATCACTAAAAGTAAAATGTGTTTATAACACCATTGAAATCCATCGACACGTGAGTCAATTTGAAAAATTTTTGGTGACAAATGGTGCATTTTAAAAAAAAAATTATGTAATCTGTTAGAAATTTTCTATTTAATTTCTAATTCTGTATTATTTTTATGTCGATAGTGAAAGTGCAAGATGTTGATGTTATCCTTATTGATCCCAACAATACTGGACAGCTAAATTTTACCACAACACCAGCCATGAAGAATCATCACTCAACTACTACCAAGAATAGCCTCTCTGTGTTTAGCCACTTTAAGTACGAACATCTTTTAGCTGGAATTTCAGGAGGGGCTATTTCCACCTTAATCCTACATCCTTTAGATTTAATGAAAATTAGATTTGCAGGTAAGTAAAGTAACCGACTAAAACATTACCAAAACTTCTCAACTTACCGCTTTTGCAGTTAGTGATGGCAGAACAACGATTCCTCAGTATACGAGTTTGACAAGTGCATTTTATACGATAATTAGGCAGGAAGGAATTAAGGGGTTGTACAGAGGTGTTGCACCCAACGTTTGGGGATCTGGAAGCGCCTGGGGCTTTTACTTCCTTTTGTAAGTAGTTTATTATTAATCATAAATAAAATGATTCAATCGTTTATTTCATTTTGGGCTTTTCTGATATACCTATTTCATAAACTTCGTATATAAATATATCAGTTAATGCAGAAAAGCACCGCTTTCTTTAAGAAAAATAAAACCTTTTGCATGTATGTTATATAAACATAGCTATAAATCAGTTTCGGTTAGTTTTCTCAAAAAAGTACTTGTCCCTACTTATCTGAAATAAACAATTTAATTAGGAAATGTTTAACACGGAAATTTCTTCATGTTATTACTCTTATCAAAATGTAACCATTAGACAATTTTATTTACTGATAAAGCACTTGTATTTTAAATAAATTTGTTCTTAAAGTAGTTAACAATAAGTTTCTGAAAAAAAAATCAACCTTCTGGTTAACCTTGAAATATATTGTATTAGAAGGAAAAGAATTTAACTGTGAAAAAGTTAATTTACACAAAAGTTAATTAATTTGGAAAAGTTAATTATGTACTGGATTTAAAGTTCATTATTTTATAGCTTTGTTTATAACAAAATTTGTTTACCCACATGCAATTACAGTCTCGATTAAATTGGACTTTCACATTATGATATGCATTGTTTATAATAATTCCTGGCCGTATTACATTGATATGTATACAAACTCTCGATATAGCACAGCATTTCATAATTACACAAACAGTAAACACTTTAATTTCATAATTGGTCCTAGAGTCATCATTTTTATTATGCAATATTAAAAAAATCCAGAATAATAATAAAGGATGTAGAACTGTAATGATGTTTTTAGATTTTGATTCGAAATTTAATAATTCTTTAGAACAATTTTTGAAGTCACTTATTTTTTGCAACCGTTTACTTAACAGTTTTATTTTTATTTCTGTGACTTTAGTTATAATTCCATCAAAAATTGGATTCAGCAAGGAGACAGCCAGTATCCCCTGGGACCGTACCTGCACATGCTAGCGGCTGCGGAGGCGGGGATTCTGACGTTATTAGTGACCAATCCCATTTGGGTGGTGAAAACGCGGCTGTGTCTGCAGTACGGCAACGAGGATGCTTATCTATCGAAAGGCGGCCAGTTTTACAACGGGATGTCGGACGCCCTTGTGAAAATTTACCGAACAGAAGGCGTGCGCGGTTTATACAGGGTCAGTTTACACGGATCGCATTACTTACGTCAGTTCTCCTTTACAGAACTGACTTAATAAAAGTAGGTAGGGAGTTGGTTTTCCTTATCTGCTCTTTGCAGGGTTTTGTTCCTGGAATGTTCGGCGTCACTCATGGGGCTCTACAGTTTATGACTTACGAAGAAATGAAGGCATTCTACAACCAGTATCGGAAGCTGCCACACGACAGCAAGCTGGTGAGTCCCTACATCTTTTTTATCCAAATTACATACAAGGGGTACTCGAAAATATGTTTACTCAGCCTTGATAGAAACAAATGACAGTGTGTTGCATAGTACCGAGCCTTCATCAATGATTACAAACAATGTGACCGGTAATTTCATTTCTTTCACTGCCAATTAAATTTCGGTAAAATTAAAACAGTTATCAAGATTATATTAAAATACAACATTCTGCTTCACAGGCTGTGATTGGTGTAATTTTTCACGAGATTATATTCAACCGATCAGCGACCTTAGCGTAGACATAACAGTTTGCCATTGTTCTTTGTAAACCAATCGTTAATGCAGGCGACGGCAAGATTTAGGGAATTATTGTTACGAGTAGCAGCCCTGCAATGTTGGTTGCCTAACCTTGGCGGTCACATGGCGTGCAACCGTTTATGAAGGTTCTGCAACAGTTTTGCAATGAAAAAAAAAGGTTTGTGAGACGAAATGTTGCAGTGACATGAAATTTTGAACAAAGGGATTAAAAATATTAATCAGTGAATAATTGTAGTAAATAATTCCAAATCTGTAGTATTTCAAATTGAAGATATATGTGTTTACGTTTTTTACAATTACGTCGCTCATATCTGCAGTTATATATTTGATTAAAAATTATTTCAGACGACAGGGGAGTACCTAGGTTTTGCAGCTATAAGTAAGTTGATTGCTGCCGCGGCTACCTACCCCTATCAGGTCCTTAGAGCCAGGCTGCAGGATCAACATCACAACTACGAAGGAACGTGGGATTGTATAAAAAAAACGTGGAAGTACGAGCGAATGAGAGGTTTCTATAAGGGGTTAGCTCCCTATTTACTTCACGTTACTCCTAATATATGTCTAGTCATGCTTATTTATGAGAAATTTACTAATAACCGTTAGGTACACGAACTCAAATCAAAATCACTTAGGTTTTGTTTATGACGTAAACCAATTTCTAATGTAGTTGAATTTACTAACTTATCAAATCAAAATTTTTAACTATGACAATTTTATTTACGTAAAAGGTAATGTAGGGTTCACGACCTCCTTAAGAAATGATTTTTTATGATTTTAATTGATTAATATTTATTGCGTTATTTTGGAAACGAAAAAGTTAACATTGCGATATATCTTTATAATCGATAATAGCTGAAGTTATTAGAAATATATAAAAAGAAAATAATAATTGTGTATATTGATGCGTAGCATATAAATTGTTTGCAACTTTTATTCCAATTTTGGGCTGGACCTGAAATGTTTAAAAGAACCGAAAGGTAGATAATGTAACTTAATTATAGATACTATTCTTTTTTTTTATCTTGATTCGAGAATTATTAAATACTACATAATTAGGTAGTTAGCAAAACAACCGGGGCCCATATTTTGAGGTTCTTTTACGTACTCAGTTCGTTTAGCTTTTAACACACACAAAGTGATCGAATAGAATGTAATTTCAGTTGTAAAATATTTATTTTATCGAACTATTAACCCAGTATTTAATCGAGACTCAAAATAACAGCTGCCGAATAATATTGTACTTGAAGCAATTATTTATTACTGACTGTGTAAGTATTAATTAAATTTATTTGTGGGCTCAATGACTTTAGTAGTGATTGATTTGACATATCAAGTTTTATCTGTAGGAAAAATTTTAAGAAGTGAGAGAGCGATCGTAAGAAATAATTGTGAGAAAGATCGACATAGTTATTATTTTTCTATAAAAATAAAGTGATTATTCAATTCAAAGTATTGTTATTTTTGAAATGTTGTGTACATAATAAAGTATGTGATATTCAGTCCCATGTTTTGTTTTAATACAACCCGCCTTTAATTATTTCAAACGAGCAAAAAGCATTACTGTTTTTTTTAAAGCCGATATACAGTAAATACCATGCCATGCTCATGATTCGCTCACGATCAAGAATTGTGGGTTGTCAGATTCAACATACAACTAACGTACAGTGTACTCAGTGGACGTTCATGATTTGCTAAAATTTATCTCGAATTTATACTGCGGCTAATGACTGAGCCTATCGTGTCTTTAAGTGGCTAATCTGAATTGGATGCATGTACGAATATTTAGTTGAACTGTGAGCGGAGTGTGAACAGACCATGACTTGAACTGTAGTGTGAATTGACCTTTATGCCACTGAAATATGTTAAAAAGTCATCTTGGTTTAGTTATATTTGTTAACATGATAAGAGTCTTGTACTATTTCTTGAGTTTAAAGGATAATTTGATAAAATAAATAAAAACCTAAACTAAGGGTTGCCGATTCCGAGACCTCAAAAAGTGTTGCATAGTTTATTCAAACTTTAAATAGGTGTCATGAAGTTTGAAAAATAAAGTTCAATTATTGACAATCTAAAAGTTTTATTAAAAATTTAGTGAGACTCATTGATTATTTATTTATAAACATAAAGGTGAATTTTCTCATTAAAAATTGGCATAATACTGTTTAATTTAAGTTGAAGTCCATAAATAGGTCAGTAAAATAGTGTAATTACTAATTTTAATAACTGACCATTGATCAAAGACAGCTTTTCTATGAAAAAGAACAGTAGCCTATGGTTAACAAAAAGAAACAATTGAAAAACTACCAGTAGGAAAGTGGCGTCAGACGCGAATACGTGCTGTGTAGTTTTAGTGAAATAAATTCCGTTTGTGCTGTTTAATGTGTAATAATTTAGCTAATTAACAATTAATAATATTTGTGTGTGAATACTGTGAATTTGAATTTTCCACCGCACCGCAAATTTGGAAGGGGACCAAGGTATGTAAATGTTTTGTTTTATCGCTTTTCTGTTAACTGTAATGTAATAATAAGGTATAAAATATTATATACCACTTTAAATTAGCCATATGATCTAAGAAAATGCCACAATGATGCCACAGATGCATATAAAAACTTGTATGAAAAGTTGAATTTGAATTTAGTGAGGTTAGGGTTCCCATAGCCTCGTTTGAAACCTTGGATCGCAATGTATAGATTTCCAAAGTTTAATCTAGAAAATTTCTGTAAGAATTTAACAGATATAGCCTCACTAAATATTTAGATCTGTTGCTTTAAAAACTTATTTAGCTCGGGATAGATTTTTATCATTTATGGGTAGGGCTTTTCATATATTTTAACCCGCTGCAAAATGTCCTTATTTCTAAAGTAAAAAAGTATAGGATGTAAATTGACTGAAATTACTTTTTTTCAACCTCATCTGAATTAAAATTTTATCAAATAATGGGGTTTAAATCATTGCATTTTAATTTTATATATTTTTAGTGGTTAATGCAATATCAAAACTTTTGTCAATCAGTTTTTTAGTTTGTGAATCATCTAATAGATGACAGAGATATTCATATCTGAAATATGAACTTGAATAAACTTGGGTAATAATCAAATATCATTCACAGTTTTTTATATCGTTTCTAATTTCACTGCAAACAAAGATTTTATCTATAATTTGTTTACAAGGATTTCGATTGCGAGAAATTTGAAAAATATACGTAAAAAGAAATTGAAATACTTTGTCATTTGTTTAATTCGTTTTAAATGGCAATAATGAATCAGATAATCAGAATACTTACATTATAAAAAATTATAAAAGAGCCAAAGAGTAAATAAACACTACTTAAAATTTTAAATTTTTGTTTTTAGTTGGAACTGAAATTTTTTAAATTATATATTGTACTTATCAACTTATACTATTATTGGTATTTTTAATTAAGCTCTCCTTAGTCGGCTTACTTAAAACTATATTTTTGTGTAGGTATATTTGAATTAGAATTTTTGAACTCGGAGACTTATGTGGTGGACGGGACGGCATATTATGATTCAGAGGGTCACATTTGCGCCCCAGGAACGAAGCTCGGTTATGTCTGGAATGGCCTTACGATAAATTCTTGTGAATATGTTTTGACTTGATAATTTATAGATAGAACGACGAAAATCGTTTGTTCACAGTGAAATTAGAGACGATATAAAAAAACTGTGTATTTGATTTATTTATTATCCCAGTTGATTCATTTGTTATCCCAAATTATTCCAGGTTTTATTTGAATAGTGATACCTCTGCCATCTATTAGACGATTAAAAAACTAGAATATTGATTGCCAAAAGTTCCATAAGATCTGGCACTATGTATCAGGGAGAAGTTACCTTGGTAACTTCTCTCTGCTATGTATATTTTTACTTGTTACTGTATGTCAAAGAAATATTACTTCTAAAAGTTATTGTTTACTGAAATATTTTGAGTCAGCGGGGTTATATAATTTAATTCCAAGAATTCTGTATAGTGATTTCGTCTTTAAAGTTTAATTAAACGTACTACCAACAGATGTCAGGGATTGGACGTTTGAAAAATTATATCTAATCTGTTTGAAAAAATTGATCATTTTATTTCTTTATTCTATTCTATTTTCGTACCAACAATTAAAATATTTGTTTGTTCTTATCAAAAAGAGTAAAAATAATAAGATAGGTATATTTTTTTTTAACATTAAAATGAAAACTTTTCGAATTTCTAGTCCGTTTGGCTTATATTAATGGTTTCTTTAAATTTTTGCACGTCCTATGACAATCAATAAGAAATTATATTCAATTTTATTTTTATAGTGATCAGATAATGGTTTTAGCCAGGTCTTTGATTTATAGGAATTTAAAACGGATGGCAGATTTGTCATTTTCTTTTGTTCTAACGTTAAATGTAACAAGAAATATTTTCTATCATCTATCACAAACGTATTCTATTTAATGAAATGCGTCTTTGTGATATAAAAAAAATACTACAAGTATAGCCAAGTGTATAAATTTCTCTGTTAAGCAAAATCTAATAAATAAAACCTATAATAACCGAGTACTTAACAAGTTATTAGCTGGGGTCCTCAAACTCGCATTAATTATTAAAATTTTAAAAGCAACTGCTATTGAGGATATAATGGAATCAAAAATGGCTCCCATCGTATCATAATAAATGAACTGACCCTTTCAGTTTGAGTCTATGTGCTGAGTATCACTAGCAAGCCCTAAATATAAATTTTCACCTCCAAAGTAACACTTACCTTTGTTATTATTAGTTAATTGCCACTAACTACACGGTGTTTAAAACTATCGTATAGTTCATCTTTTTATTTTCTTTTTATGATATATAAGGTTCTTATATTTTCTTTTTCCCAAGTTCCTTGAAATTTTCTTTTCGATTAAAATATTTTTCTATAAAAATTCTGAAAGACTAATTCGATCCTCCTAAATTCATTTTTAAAGTTTGTTTTTAGCTAAATTTTGAGCACAAGGAAATCTTAAACAAATATTTTTACTTTAAACAAAAGTTATGCTTTAGAAATAGTTATATACACCTATATATCAGTATTAGGTACATTATATCCACTGAAATATTTCGTGCTGTAAAAGTATGGGTGGTACTCAGAGCTCGAGGTGAGGTTCACTGACTTTATAGCGCAGATTTCAGACAAAGTACCAATGAAAGCAAAAGTGGAATGTCTTTTTTAGTAGGGTTGCTTATTTGTTACTACCGCACATTGTTTTGAAACTTTTATCACAATAAATACATTTTACAATTAATATTAATATAATGTAAGTGGGTACATATATAACAAAGAAAATGCTTCTAGCACTTATTTCTGTCGTAATTTAAATACTTTTCTTTAAAGTAACTAACATAATAGATAAATTAAATTAGTTGTTATATATTTTGATTTTGAATTAACTATTAATTAACTTCTATTGCCATACAGTATATTCACAGTTAGAACAATATTTATTTCAAAATACTCTTTATGGTCGAAATTCTGGAGTCTTTAATTGCAATATCTACGCCGCTGGTTGGCGTATTTGTAAACCAATTCAATGAATTGCCGCTTTTAATTAGATAATTTATTAGGCCAAGTTTCGTCTATCTACGTCAAACATCTTCGGGGATATTTGAATAGATGATATTTTTTTTAATTCAATTAACTTCAGCCTCCTATATCCAGAAAGTACAAGCGGTTTTAGACACTTATTAAGCCGTTTTGGGTGAAATATGACATATGTGTTATTTCTTCAATGGTCCTCAATAGTCCGCAGAGTAGTTAATACGACATGGCATTAGGCAATAATCAATACCAATACATAATAATAACAGTACGTAAAATATAGGTAGCTTTCTTTATAAATGAAAAATTTATTATCTGAATTATTGTCTGTAATTGTCTGTTTGTTCATTATGTTCCTAAAATATTATCTACTTAATTTTTATTCTAAAAAAAATTGTCTTTTGTACATCAGATAGCGGGAAATGAGCTTCAAGGCTATAAAACATAAAAAGATACTGCCACAAATTTCTTATAACGTGTATAAATTATATTTCCCCTCTGTTTTGTGACCCTAATAAGCGTTTAAGCTGAAACATATTTCCATGCTCCTTATTTTTATCTAGTCCAAAAATGAATAGAGTAGATATTTATTTGTGGCAGTGGTCGGTTTTTTGTATTTATTGGGTATTTTGCCACCAGTGAAAAATTTAAAAAAAAATTATGAAATAAACCCTTGTGCCAGAGGGAACAGTCCAGGATTATTTTTATGAAAATAGTTTTGCGTAACCAAAAAACTGACATCGAAAAAAGCAGACAAATACACATCACTATATAGCTTTTACTACAAAAAGTTGTTAACGTTTCGAAAATCTGAACTGATTATTTTTCTTTTTCCCAGTTTCCATTGTTAGTGGTTTCATATTATGTTTATTCTTTTATTCATTGCTTGATTAATTGTGGTAGGCTATAAATGCAATATTTTAAATGT